TCGAGACTCTTTTATCTAGATAATGAGTTTCTCCGTCACTGGAACCTGTGTTCCTACGTGGAACTACTGGTCCGCAGACCTTCTGTATTCCTTAGATCTCCCATGTCCAGCCTCTGCAGTACAGGACCGATCGGGGCCGCATATATGTCCGGCAGGGATCGTCGAGTGAGACACTATCGGAGCAACGTGACTACGTGTCGTTCGCAGCACGCGTTACTCGGGTACTTCAGGCTGTGCCAATGTCGAGTCAGTCAGGTACCTGAAGTAGCGCGTGCTGCAACGAAACCGGATCGTCGTCTTTTTCCCCGGCGAGGAATTCAGGTCGCGGAACCAGCCTGTGTTTCTGTATATATGTGCCACACCATGGGGAATAGTACACAAGAAGAGATTCAAGGAGACGAAGGGGGAGGATGGAAACGGTGGTGGAAAGAACTGTGGAGGCTGCATGTTAATTGTACTTCATCAGGTGCTCTGGTGAACTCGATACCCGGCACCTGTTGGAGCGCAATTCATATGACTGTGCCCTGCTGCCTTGTTTCATCACGACAGAACCGAAAGATCCCCGTCTCGATCGAGAAAACTGACCGGTTAACGTGACTGTGATTAGTAGACTGCGGATTTTATGCATTTATAGCCTACAGGGGTATGTGAAATACAATAAAACAGAAAGCTTTTATCAGTTTCAACGATTTTTCTATTTTATTCTGGACCCAATAAGATACAAGGGAAGGCACGAAAGTGTCCCCCTCCGATTTTGATGAAACTTCGTATGTCTATTAAGTAGTCAAAAATACGTATCCCTTATTTTTGACTGCTTAATAGACATACGAAGTTTCATCAAAATCGGAGGGGGACACTTTCGTGCCTTCCCTTGTTAGAAGAAGGAAATTCCTATCTTTGTTTTTGAATTAATTTTTAAAATGTAACTTTGCATGAAAATCCGCAGTCTAGTGATTAGCATTGGGACCGAATCGGATTCGCGAAGGACTGTATCTAACAGGTCACACAAATTATCAAGTAGTTAAGGGGTGTGTGCAAATCGAACCGTTCCGCCATTTTCGAGGAACTCGATCGACGACAAAAGCAGCCCCGTTCCTCGTCGATAACAAGCCTCCGATGAGCTTTTAATGGCCGCTTGGTAAATTACGCGATTTAATTTTCCGAGCAGCGTCGTTTACCGTTTAATCGACAAATAAAATTAAATCGGCGCCCTGTTGTTAGGTGGACCGGGGCTACGCGTTGTTAGTGTGTCGTTTCTCTCTATCGACGAAGAAGAGACAGGGAGGAACCTGTGTTGTAGCCTGGTAATGTCGCGACCTAATGGGATAATGACGTTACGTGGGGTCGCGTGGCGGTGTACCGACTGAAAGAAAATGGAGAGAGAGGAGACAGCGTGAGATGGACGAAGAAAGAGAGAAGAGGCGCGCAGAATAACGCAATTATTCGCCTTTTAGCTCGATTCCTATAGAAGCGTCGAAAAGCGTGCGCTCTGCTGCTGTGTAGGCTGTTACCGTTCTTTTATTTCGGTCGGTAAACTTCCGGTCACGAGACCCGCGGCCCAAGCACTAAAAATACAACCGTTCTATCGATCATCGATATTTTCATTACCATTTATCCTAACGACTATTCAATGTTTTTCCCTTCTTTTTGTGTGTGCAATAAAACGTCTAGTAAAAAGAGTTACAGAAGAAAAAAAAGAGACACGGAGTATTAGATGTGTGCGTATGGTGTGTGCGCGAGCGCACGTCGTCTGGTCGCATAAAAGGAACCTAAAGGAGGCATTACAAGTCAATAGAGCGTGCACTGTACGAGAACTGTATTAACGAGCATTAAAAAGATACGCCAGACAGGTTATATAGGGTTCTACAAAGAGCTGCTGTATGTGTGTGTGTGTGTGTGTGTCTGTTCATAAAAGAGCTTTTTATTTACTTACGTCTACACTGTTACGTCTAACGATAATGTTACGAACTAATGTTACGAATACGTGAATTACTTTACGACGGTTCGTTTTATGTCCTAGATCGTGTCTACCATTTGTACTCTTAATAAAACTGTGGCGAACGAGGTGCGTGCGTTGTACGCTGGCGAACCGGTCCGGGTTGGGTTGTTGCTCCGCCGTTTCTCTCGGCACCGGGGGGCCACCTTTATTTAACGCAAGAAGAACCGTGCTTCGACGCTGGGGAAATTCCTTCGAAACCGTTGAAACACCGAATTTACATAAGACAGCGTTTAATTAATCGGAAGGCGCAGCGAATCGATTTGCTTAAAATAGACAGCCAGGTTCGAAGGTGCGAAATTGAATCGCCTACGAAATCGTAATTCCTGCGGGAGGGAAATGCGTGACGACCCCTTTTCTTACTCGTCGATGAAGGGTTACGCGCTGCACACTTAGGAGCAAACTCAGTTTCCACTAGAGGAAAAAATAACGTAAGAAAGATCTGCTACTATTTGGTATCGAGAATCACTGAAATATATGTCAAATTAACGATTTAACATTTATTTTAGTACTTGAGATCATATTACCAAGTGGTAATATATTTCATAAACTGGTGGCCATATGCGGCCGAAATAAATATTATTAGCTTCAGATGCGTTATTCATTAATCCCGCACTATCTCCACTCCTATTCCTAATTTCGATTAACCAAAAAAGTAATAAGAAACAATAAATAATAACAAAATAATTAATTTGAAAACTTTTAAGTTTTGGAATTAGTTCCAATTTTCGCCACTAAATGTCCCATAAATTCCCAAATTTTTCCGGCACTTTTCTGAATCCAAGATGGCGGAAAAACCTGCAAATTTGTGGGGATTTCTGGCCCCCACTAGGGCGTCATAAACTTGCAGGTTTTTCCACCATCTTGGATTCAGAAAAGTGCCGGAAAAATTTGGGAATTCATGGGACATTTATGGGAAAATATGAGATAGTCGTAGTGCTAGGAAAGTGTTGTTAGTTAAGCTGTTGCTTAATAAACAACACATACCAACCACTTAACTGTTTTTTATTGAAAAAATCTGATGAAAATACACAATTTACAATAGTATTTGAATAAATTTCACAACAATTGCCTTAAATACTTATATATAAATACGAGTTTACAATATATTTGTAACAATATGTGCATAAATTCAGTAAAACATGGCTTAAATATTATTCAGACTTATAACAATAAAAATAATTCCCTCTTCTGTAACTTGTAAATCTTCCGTACGATGTTCAAAGCTTCATACGGAATAGTTTCATACGTTTTGTCGTCGAAATATTCATTCTTCGGGACATACGATAGATGTCGGACTCCTGTGGAGGGGTTGCCAAACAGGACACATCACGAGTCGTGATTCACGGACATATTTGTGTGCGAAGAAAATGATAGATACGTGCTCTCATTCACACATTTCACCCACCACTGCCATATGCTCGCATGCTGCACGTTGTTGCCCGCTGGTGAGTTTGGCTGGCGCTGAATTGCCCACCACTGTTGTAACGTGTACACGGCGAGAAACTTGATCACGGTGGCGAAGTTGTTCTCGGATGACGATAAGCGATACAACCTTATGAGTTGTGTATCGAATTGCTTCGTGACAAAAAGGGGGAAGTTTGACCCTTTGCCTCTCGTACAACGGGTACGGATTAAGTTCGAGTACTGCCGTACGTGGTAAGAGGCTCTTTGCGCAGAACCATGTTTTTAGCACCGAAATAAACTTTTTCGTTACCTCGATTCTTGTGCAATCGTTATTGAAAAATGGTAATTCGGAGTCTGTCTATTGTTCTATTACAGACAACGAGATGTACGTTATGAAAATTCGGAAATAAAGATGAACCTTAAGAAATATATTTACTTCTTTTATTTGTACCTTATATATATATATATATATAT